GAATCAGTGAGTTTCAGTTCTCTCAGTTTCTAATTTTTCCATTCCTAAATTCACATTTTGCAATAATTTTGCAAAATTAAAAAAACTCATGAAAATTAATCAACATTTTACTGCTAATTTCTTCTAATAAACACATTTTTGTATGCAGTCTTGGTCAATGTGTACATTTTTGCAACAATTTTTTCCTAGTATAAAGTGCACTTGCACATTATTTTTATGGATATGTTCACTTTTATGCAAACTTTTACCAAATGTATGCATTTTTGTAGCATTGGTTGGTTGGAAAAAAATGTATCACAAGATTTGGAGGGGTGCAATTTTTGAAGGATGGCTGTGTTTTCTTCTCATATTATTTCTGAATGTGTGGATTTGATAAATTCAGCTTTAAATGCAAAACAAATCAAAATTCTCCCCCTGATGAAGGCAGTGTGGGTGAGGCTTGAAAGCTACAAATGCAAATATTCACAGCATGGATAACAGGATTGTGATCTTCCTACATTTCCCCCATTGATAATTAGACTGCTTATTTGTTTTAATTTTAAATAAATAAAATGGGGTGAAGTCCACCAGTTTCTCCATCTGAGAATGATTTAGTTGGACATCATCTTGTGTTGTTGGGTTTTCTGCTGCTCTTACTGTGATCATTTGTGTTGTAATGGTTTATTTTAAGTGCACTGAATTTAATAGGTCTACTCTGAATAGGACCCAGCTGAATCTTACCCTAAGTCAATAATGTGACGCTCCCCTCCATCACATTTGGAGACCAAGGATTTTGTGCAGATGGCTGTATCCAGGATGGAAACCCCCTTCCCCTCCAGACCATTGTTCATCTAGCAACACGCAGAAACACCATCCTTTGCATAACATTATTGTTAAAGATTTACAGAGTGTGGGAGGGGGTTGCTTTTTTTTTTTTAAGTCAGCAAGTAAAAAACAGATTGCTTTGGGGTGACTTTCTCTGCAACCATGCAGGACTGTCATCATCAGAGAGAAACGCTGGAGTGGAAGGTGAAACAGATACCACATAAATCTAACGCAGTACTGTCTAGCCTGTTTGGCAGCGGGGCCTTAGGCAAAAGTGTTGTCTGGCACTGCAGTCCAAGATTGCTTATCGAGAGAGAATACCGGAGACAGAATGTTGGACCCTTTAGTTGCAGCTTTAACGGACTCTGGCTACAATATCCAGGGATGCTAAATAATTTGCAAGTGGAAGAGTCCTGAACTGCAATCATTGGAATTATGTCCTGCATTCATTGCAAGGGAATGTTTGCACACATTTGCTCAGAAGTTAAGTACTGCTGAGTTTAATGAGACTTACTCCCAGGTAAGTGGATACTGCAGTCTTGCAGTACAATCGTATGCATGTTTACTCAAAAGTAAGTACCAATGAGTTCACTGCAGCTTACTCCCAGGCAGGGCTTTTTTCAGCAGGAACTCACCAGAACTCAGTTCTGGCACCTCTCAGGTGGGCACCATTGCCATTACGGTGGTACCTTGCTTCTCAAACACCTTGGTACGCAAACAACTTGGAACCCAAACCCTGCAAACCCACAAGTAAGTGTTCCATTTTGTGAACTTTTTTCGGAAGCCGAACATGCTCTGTTTTGAGTGTTATGCTTCCAGTCTGAGGGCCACACTTCTGTTTTGAGTGTTACGCTTCCATTTTGAATGTTACACTTCCGATTTGAGTGTTACACTGGGGTCTGTCTGTTTTTGCTATTTATTTTGCGTTTTTGTTTTTGTGGCTTTTGTTTTCCTTTTGTGACTGTGTGGAACCAAGTTCAGCTACTGATTGATTGATTGTGTGACTGCAGTACATTGTTTATTGCTTTCATTTTATGGATCAATGGTCTCGTTAGATAGTAAAATTGCTGTTTTGGTGGTTGTTTTTAAAAGTCTGGAATGGATGAATCCATTTTGCATTACTATCTATGGGAAAGCGCACCTTGGTTTTGGAACGCTTTGGTTTTGGAAAGGACTTCTGGGACAGATTAAGTTTGAGAACCAAGGTACCACTGTATAAGAGAACAAGGAAGGCATTCATGGTGAGTTCTGGCACCTCTTTTTCTAGAAAAATAGCAGTGCTTCCAGGTAAGTAGGTACAGGGTGGCAGTCTGCAAGGCACCCTTTTCTCTGTGAATAAGGAGCCACACAATATTTCTGCTACAGGTCAGCAAATGAAATATTTTCAAGAAATCTGACAGTTTGCAAATAGTACCTTTCCCCCCTGTGCACACACATAATAGCCATAATAATGCTAATACTGGCACTTAAACTGCACTTTACATCTCTAAAGTTCTGGAGAAAAAATTAGCTAATTTAACCCCAGCAGTCTCCTACGAGGCCAGTAAGTAAGTACAGTGTGCAATTCTCAAATGTGCTTTCTGACTTTCTCCTGTTCCCTTCCTAAGTGTACAGCTGAAATTACAAACAAGGTGAATAATGCATCTGTGTGGTAACCATGGTAATCAGCTGTATTAACAACCTTAAATGACAGCGTATCTACTAGGACTTCACAGAAGCAGACCAACCCTTGAATGCGACTGGAGGGTTTTTGCCTTTCAGCCTGATCACAGACACGTTCCTGGGAAGCAAGTCCCATTGAGTTAATGGAAGCTGATGTCGCCTAAGTGTTCTTTGGGTTGCGGTCCTAAGGTACACTTGGGGAGGCTTGAGCACTTGTCATTCGGAATTAAGGCAACTCACTGGGAGAAAAGATCTAAAAAAATCCCAGCCTGTAATAACTTCGTTTCTCCCTTCCCACCCCCATTTATCTTGGCCCACAACAAGACCACAACATACAAATTCAAACCAAAAGCAGTAAACCAATATCCCCCCCCCCGTGCGCGCTGTGGTCTAAACCACTGAGCCTTGGGCTTGCCGATCAGAAGGTCGGCGGTTCGAAACCCGGGGTGAGCTCCTGTTGCTCGGTCCCTGCTCCTGCCAACCTAGCAGTTCGAAAGCACGTCAAAGTGCAAGTAGATAAATAGGTACCGCTCCGGTGGGAAGGTAAACAGCGTTTCCGTGCGCTGCTCTGGTTTCACCAGAAGCGGCTTAGTCATGCTGGCCACATGACCTGGAAAAACTGTCTGCGGACAAACGCCGGCTCCCTCGGCCAGTAAAGCGAGATGAGTGTCGCAACCTCAGAGTCGTTTGTGACTGGACTTAACTGTCAGGGGTCCTTTACCTTTACCTTTACCTTTAAAAGCGTATAGGATGTCAATCAGGTCAACCAAAGGCCTGGTTAAATAGGAATGTTTTTGCCTGGCGCCTAAAGGTGTATAATGAAGGCACCAGGCGAACTTCCCTGGGGAAAGCATTCCACAGACGGGGAGCCACTGCAGAGAAGGCCCACTAAAATGTGAGAAATAGGACTCACAGTACTCTCCTGATCTACATCCCTAAACTGGTTTGGGCATTCACGACTCAAAGCTCAAGATGAATTCACTTTCCTAGGCATATTATAATGGGTATCCTGTGAAGAGAGTGCTTGAATACTCTAGCCAGAATACCACCCTCTGGATATTATAAGACAATTCTCATCATCTCACTGAAAGAGATGGGTTTGCTTAGTGTGGAGAAGGGATGTTTTAAAGGAAACATCAAATACCAAATACTAAATAATACTATAGAAGAAACATCAGCGTGCTGAAGGGTTTTGTACCTTGGCTGTCCTTTGAAAGATGGGCCCTGGGAGGCAGGAAGGGGAGGAAGACAGAGGGCATTCTTAATGCTCCCATGGCGAGTTATCAAGTGACTCTTTTGTTGCTAGCCTAAAAAGAACGCCCTTTTGCAAGGCGTGATATGTTGTTACTTTTCCTTTTCCTAAAGTGTAAGCAGAATCCACAGTCACTTCCCTTCACTGTTACAAAACAGTGGGTGGAGTCATAAAGATGCCCAGAAAGGCTGGCTGAAGTATTTAAATTATTCCTGATCTTAATCTTTTAACTGTTCCCTAAGAATGTCATGGAGCATTATCGGCACAGAATGCAGATGCTGATGAAAAAGTCTACTTACATCTCCATCCACTCTCTCTCTCACTCACTGAATGATCAAACCAAAGGAGATCGCTATGCCTCTAGAGCCCCAGTGACCAAGGAGCCAGCAGAGAGAGGTGTCACAATGAAGGGCGTGTCACAAGGACCTCCACAACCTAGCAACCACCAGCCCTCAATTGACACTACTCTCAACTGGCAGTACTCTCAACTGACTCTACTAAGTTGCTAAGTTTTAATCCACATTCAGCTTTTTACAGATATGTAAAATGAAATTTATTCCTTTATATTCAAGCTTCCGTTGTTCCAGCACCTACTGAGCATTAGCTATCTAATCTACTATCTGCCTCTTTGGTCCTATATTGCTGAACCAGAAATCACCTCTTGGGTATTTATTCATTTTATTACCCTCCTTCACCAGCAGGTCCCTGGGCAGGTTACAACCATTTAAAATTATTATAGTTGTTATTAATTAAATTTGTATACCGCCCTATACCCATAGGTTTCAGGGCAGTTCACAGGATAAGATCACGTATAGAAACACAAAATACATAATAAAAACAAAAACAACCCAATAACCTCCCCCCCCCCCCGCAACACAAAAGGGCATTGGATGCCAACAAGGCAGGTCTTGAAAATACAACTCTGGTGGCAAAGGCCAATTAACAGACCCCCCAAGTGCCCCCATGTCCCAGATTTAGAGAAGCTGTCCCAGTTTCTAATGTGGTCCTGGAATGTCCTGCTTTTCCTTACGACCTCCCTATTGTAAATGTTCCCTAAGACTGTCATGGAGCATTATCAGCACAGAATGCAGATGCTGATGAGAAAGTCTACTTACATCTCCATCCACTTTCTCTCTCACTCGCTGAATGATCAAACCAAAGGAGATCTCTATGCCTCTAGAGCCCTAGCGACCAAGGAGCCAGCAGAGGGAGGTGTCACAATGAAGGGCATGTCACAAGGACCTCCGCAACCTAGCAACCACCAGCACTCAACTGACACTACTCTTAACTGACACTACCAAGTTTGCTTATATGGCTTTTAATCCACATTCAGGCAAACTTCCCTGGGGAGAGCATTCCACAGACGGGGAGCCACTGCAGAGCAGGCCCGTTCTCGTGTTGCCACCCTCCAGACATCTTGAGGAGGAGGCACACAAAGAAGGGCCTCAGAAGATGATCTCAGGGACCAGGTAGGTTCCTATGGGAAGAGGCAGTTCTTGATGTATTGCGATCCTGAGCCGTTCTTTTGTGGAAGCCATCATTTATAGTGATATCATAGTGCTATAAATGTATGGTGTGCATGTGGCCTGTCTGATGAGGCAAAAGTCATTTTCAACCTTCATTGAAAGCTTTCTGTTCTGTCACAGTTACAATTCCTTATTGAGCATGGCAGTGGGACTGCTGATGAATACAGTGGTACCTCGGGTTACAAACACTTCAGGTTACAGACTCTGCTAACCCGGAAGTAGTACCTTGGGTTAAGAACTTTACCTCAGGATGAGAACAGAAATCACTTGGCGGTGGTGCGGCAGCAGTGGGAGGCCCCATTAGTTAAAGTGGTACTTCAGGTTAAGAACAATTTCAGGTTAAGAACGGACCTCTGGGACGAATTAAGTTCTTAACCAGAGGTACCACTGTAGTCTAAAATTTCCTCCCTTAAATAGCCACTTTTAAATGTCCCTTAGTTTCACTTTCTGTGCAGGAGTGTCTAATGTTAATGATTTCACACACAGAGAGAGGGGGGTTAATGTATAAAAAATGAAATTTGATTAGCTTGGAACACATTTCCCTCCTACCGTCCCACTGCTAGGAATAGAAAATTCACAATAATGAAGAATTGAGGAAAGCTAGTCAAGGGGCAATTAACGGGGCAATGCATCATAATCTGGCTGCTGTGAGCAAGTGAAAACAATAAAAGGGCAGCATTTAGAAGCAGAAAATGTTTATTTAAGAACTAGTAGTGGCCAGTATGGTAGGTCACAGCCACCCTCCCAACACTGGCATTGGAGCTTACATGGGCTTCAGCTGTTCCATTTTTCTCTTTCCTCCTCTGTTTTCTTGGACCACATGGAAAGTGACACAGATTAGAATTAGAGTGTTTCTTCATCTCTAGTGTGTAAACAGCCTTTGCTGTTCTTGTACATATTAACTTAAGCAAGAAGGGTGTCTACACCTTTGGACTATTGCAATGGCAATTAGCCACTCATATCTGGAAGAAAAGGTTCATTGTCAGCACTGTGGTTTTTTATTTTATTTTTGTAAGTCCCTAGTACCAGCATTCTTCTGTCATCATGACCTTAGTCTTTATCACTTAATTGGAGATGTTCTACTACAGCCGACTGTTCCTAGACAACATCTCATTAATTCAAGCAACTAGTTACAACATCTGGTAAAGGCTGTCTCATCTTTGAGTGGAATTATTTTTCTTCTTCCAAATGGCTTTTTTTCACGTAGGAATGACTAAAACCAAACGTCCACTGGCACTAGGTGCCCAACCTTTTTGATTTCCTAACAATAACAATATCACCTGCTGATCATGAGAAACGGGATTTTACACGAACAGTGATGAACTCTAACCTTCAGTTATTAGCATCTATTTGTCATCCCAAAGAGTGGTTGAGTTTAACCTGTGAGGAAGTGATGAGTTAGGAGCACCAACTCAATCATTTCAGTAACATTTAAAAAGTAAGCACACAGTCACTAATATCTATATGAAACAAAAAAGGGATCCATTACCATACAGCTTCCATAAAAAATATGTGCACATAGGTGTTCATTTTTCAGGCAATGAAGAGTCATTCCGGGGTCATTCGTCTGAATATGGCCAATAGCAGCCGTTCCCTCAAAGCATTTACCACCTGGTATGATGGGACAAAAGACAATAGCATGACAATGAAAAGTATTGGTCATATCCCACTTTAAATGAGCCACCATGTAGATATTTCTCTTATTTGATCGTTTAAGTATGTCCAGAACAGATGTTATTTTTATCTGTGCTTTAAAAATTGTACACTAAATATGTTTGTTTATATACTGTTTCAACTCCAGTTGAATCTATCTATCTGGTTGTCTGTCTGTCCATCTAAATGTATAAAAAGTGCTTAAATATACAGTGGTACCGCGGGTTACATACACTTCAGGTTACACACTCCACTAACCCAGAAATAGTGTTTCAGGTTAAGAACTTTGCTTCAGGATAAGAACGGCACGGCGGCAGCAGGTGGCCCCATTAGCTAAAGTGGTGCTTCAGGTTAAGAACAGTTTCAGGTTAAGAACGGACCTCTGGAACGAATTAAGTACTTAACTCAAGGTACCACTGTATACTGTATACTGTATACTGTTATTCATATAAAATACGTAACTATTTAAAACCAGGATAATTAGAAATAGTGCAAATATTATAGATATAGATATAGATATAGATATAGATATAGATATAGATATAGATATAGATATAGATATATAGTATTTTATTAATTTGCAGTAAAATAATATAAATTCCAACAAAACCTGCAGAATGTTACAATGTTTTAGACAACGTAGTCTGCATTGTTCCACATGGAAAACTTGAAATCTTAGGAAAGATCAAACAAAACCCAAGTGCTTCTTAAAATACAGAAGTACTGTTCATTCAGTGCCATGTAGGTCTATTTTGTGACAGACAACAGGAAAATGTTTCTCCCTCTGGTGGCCAAAATCATAAAGAGAAGACATGACCTTTTCCCCTAATGGTATGGTAAAAAAAGGCAAAGGACCCCTGGACAGTTAAGTCCAGTCAAAGATGACTATGGGGTTGTGGTGCTCATCTCGCTTTCAGGCCGAGGGAGCCGGCGTTTGTCCACAGACAGCTTTCCAGGTCATGTGGCCAGCAAGACTAAACTGCTTCTGGCACAATGGGACACCGTGACAGAAACCAGAGCACACAGAAATGCCATTTACCTTCCCTCCACAGTGGTACCTATTTATCTACTTGCACTGGCGGGCTTTCAGATTGCTAGGTTGGCAGGAGCTGGGACAGAGCAATGGGAGCTCATCTTGTTGCGTGGATTCAAACCGCCAACCTTCCGATCGGAAAGCCCAAGAAGCTCAGTGGTTTAGACCACAGCGCTACCCACATTCCCTAATGGTATATTCCATTTGACAAGATGGCTGGCAAATTCCAAATCACCCTCCTCCATCCCGTCTCACCTCTTGTAATTAAGTGATGCTCATTTCCTCAGCTGATGGGTCTTGGATATGGAGAACCACCTTCTTCTATGCTGTTTTGGTTAGTGTTGGTTATGTTGTTTTCTTTAATGTTTTTATGAACTGCTTTGCATGCCATATTTTTGCTTACTTTTACACTTGCTGTGGGTGATGCTGCCTGCAAATAAGGCAAGCCACGTATTTTAGAAATTATAAATCAATCAAGTTCCTAATCTACTCCCCCAAACATCCCAAAAAATTCCCCCGTCTCCATGCTTCTATAGAAAAATATCAATGGTCTGTTCCAGCTGCTAAATTAAACAATACAATATTCTTTTTTGTATGCATGCAGGTGACTTTGATTAGGTTATTTTATTTTACCTTTTTAGCGCAGTCCATGATTTAGATATGGCTGTGTGCATTGGAGAGCCTAAGTTACCAAAGCCGAGGAAAAGGATTAGCAATTGTGGCATGAAAGGAAATGAAAGTATCAAGGGAAGCTAATAGACGTAGCATTCAAACAAAAACAAGCACCAAAGAGAGGATCTGAGGAGCACTAAGTGAACATGCCTTGATTCCTCTGACTTTTACATTCCAAAATGCAAATACACGTAATTGTTTGCAAAAAGGAAAAAAGAAAACAACAATGGTTGTGCCCAGAATGAAACAAAAAAGAGAGAGAGAGACAAAATGGAGATCACATGAATGAAACATCAAATGGGAATGTAAACAGTTTCAAACAGAATCTATTCTTTCTCTGTCACAGTGTGTAGATTTGGTTTGATTTCATCTCTTAAGCCATGTGAGCTATAGCACCTTCCAGATGTTGTAGGACTACAATTCCCATCATCCTGGGCTACTGGCCATGCTCAAAAGCAGCTCACCAGGTAGGGCAGAGCCGCTACACTAGGCTGCCAGCAGGAGGGTTGCTGTTGCTTGCCAAGAGGGAGAGGCGGCACGGAAGTCAACATGGAACAAATACACTGGTGAAGCCAATCCGACACTCTTTCTATTGTATTTGCACCATGCTGACCTCCCCTACTGCCTCACACCTTCCCCCAGTGGCATAGCATGGGGGGGTCACAGGGGCGGTCGCCCCAGGCACAAAAATTTTAGGGGGTGCAAAATTTTAACAGCCGGTGTTGCCTCAATACAGCTGCACGCTTCTGTCACTGGGGTCTGTTGAAAGTGACTTCTCCATGTGAACCAGGAAGTGACATCTCCAGATGACAGAACGACTCTTTTTTTCTTATCTCTGTGGCGCTGCGATCTCCTGGGTGATGTGGACGCCGTTAGGCAGTTGAATGTGCATGCATGCTCCATCCGTTTCCCTCTCTCCCACGTGGCCCCGGGCACTGGCAACCCATGCTACACCACTGCCTCCCCTTCTCCTTCCCAGTAAGTAACAGCAACCCACCTGCTGGGGAACTAGCATTAACAGCTGTGCCCCACCTGGCAAGCCACCTCTGGCTCTGATATATGGGGCCAGTGGGAGTCAGCGTCCAAAAATGTCTGGAGGGCACGCCATTGGCTCCCCCGCCTTACAGTATAAACTTTTTCCCATGCAGCGTTAACACCTGAAGCTGTAGTGCAGATAAGGACATTAGCTTTCACTTTCAAAACTCTGCCCAAACTCCTGCCTGCCTGTGTTTAGAAACCTTGCCTTCTATTAAATTTAATCATTTCCCCCTGTGGCTTTAAATTGAGGGCATCTCCTGTTTAAATTCAATTACTTTCCCATTTAGATTCAATGCCGATAATAGTAATAATAATATTTTAACTTTGCATAAAAGTACCCTGATGAAAGTGAATGGGAAAAGTATGGCAGTGGAACAGAGTGGCTACTAAACAATGATATATGAATTTATTAATAAAAAGAGAAGCATTTATTGCAGCTTTTGTGAAGATTTAAGTCCTTCCTATTAATAAAGGGAGTGAACCGTTGCTCACTGGGGCAAGACGCACTGCAATGCAACATAGGTAAGGGGTCATTCTTTCCCCCCTGGAAATCAATTATATTCGCTTAATGCATGCTGTTCTATAAAATCAGTATATTATTGCTGTGGCTTATTTTATGGATTGCTGTTATAAGATTAATTCAGATTTCAATAGAGGGAGCAAAATACATCAAATATGTTTCCATTTTGAAGAAAAGGCTTTGCAGAGGGTGGGGTTTTCTGGGGGGAATGGGGAGGGATAACAAAAGTGCATGTCCAAAATATTCACTGTCTCTTTGTCTCTTTAAAAATTTCAAGGGGAATCCTTGGCCCCACCAGACTTTTTTGGGTGGTGGGGAGGCTTGTGGATATTTACTGCAACCTGTAATAAACTCAGTTAATTTATGTGCATTAGTGATGGGTTGTTTTTTTTAATAATATTTATTATTTTTCCAAAAACACTAAAAGAAGAAAACAAAAAGAAAAAGAAAAACAATACAATACAACACATCGAATTAACAAAACAAGATTAAGACAATAAAATAAATCAACCAATTCCGTTATCCCATCTTTCATTCACTTATTTCCACGACCTCCTCACACCTCCCTTTTTGTATTCCACTTCTGTTAGTTATTTCAGCAATTCCTTTCCATCCTCCTCTGTTTTCAATCCTATAATTATCTTAACTCATTCTAACCTTATTTTTTTCCTTTAATACTCTATTAACCTATCTATACTTAATTCCTTATAATATTTCTACTAAAGCCGTATAACTTCATTCCAACATTTTTCTAACATTCATTAATTTTACAATATTTCTGTAAATAGTCTTTAAACTTTTTCCAATCTTCTTCCACCGACTCTTCTCCCTGGTCTCGGATTCTGCCAGTCATTTCCGCCAATTCCATATAGTCCATCAACTTCATCTGCCATTCTTCCCGGGTGGGTAAATCTTGTGTCTTCCAATACTTCGCGATGAGTATTCTTGCTGCTGTTGTAGCATACATAAAAAAACGCACTGGGCAGAAACTAAACAATATGTCTGTTCCAAAATTGTTGCAGGCACTATCCGCATTGAAAGCCGGATTGCATATAACCACCATCCCAACATCACCATGAGCGAAAATTGTCATGAAAGCACAATTTTTAAAAAGACACCTGTAAGGGCCCCTTATTTACAGAGGAACATAGCCTGGAAACAATTCATAACTTGGAAACAACAGTCTGTGGAAGGGTAAGAAACCTGTGGCCCTCCAGATGTTTCTGGACTACAGCTCCCATCAGCCCCAGTTAGCATAGCCAATGGTCAGGGGTGGTAGGTATAGAAAATATATTAAGAATGCAAGGTGAATCCGATTAAATGTTTACAGAATTCCAAATCATTTATGGTAGGGTTGCCATATTTCAAAAAATAAAAATCCAGACACAAAAGTTGTTGAGCTCCCCCCCCACCCGCTATTTTTCTTTTTTGGGGGGGGGAGGGGACACTGGCTACAAGCCGTGACAGGATTAGAGGATTAGAGAGCAGTGCAAATCTGATTACTCAATACCATATTCATTTCCCCTGACATGTTGAAGACATGGATTGGATTAGATGGATCCAAGAGAGTAGTTCATGGGTTCTCTTCCATTTCCATTCTCGTGTTTTATTATAGCCAACCATCATATATAAATAGTTGAAATTATTTGAAATTATGCTGGTGACTAGGAAAAAGAGGTTTCCCTTTTTCATTTAAGACATAACAGAATTTCCGTAAGACACAGGTGCTCACACTTTTTTTTAGATCCATTTTTTTATTAAAAACAACAGCACCAGATTTTCTTTTGTTTCACAAATCAAGGCACTTACATGATTCATGTTTTCATAACAATATTCTTAGCTTTCTAATGCAACAGAGTTTGTTTTGGTTTTTTTAAGCAAAGTTCTGTGTTGTGGTGGATGGTGTTGTGAGGCCACACCACTCATCTGACCTTTGCACAGCTGAGCTTACAGGGACATGGGAGGAGGAGGAAGGCAGTGACAGTGAGGTCAGCATGGTGCAAACACAATGGGAAGAGTGCCTAATGGTTTCTGCCAGAACATTTGCACCATATCAGGCTTACTGCCACCTCACCACTCCTCTCTTTTCTAAAAAAAAACTTTTTAATTGAGATTTACTCTACATATAACATATAACACAAAACACACAATACAATACACCATTATACACTACAATATACTAAAATACAGACCTATATAATATCAACACCATAATACAAAACTATACTATACATACTATACAATAAATTCTATTTACCTACCCCACACGAACACACCCACAGTGATTTGACTTCCAACCCTTCTCATTGTACTGATTTATGTTTAATTGGCCTAATCCTAAAAGCATTTCTTTTTGAAAAATCTCTTCACTCAGTTATTCTCCACTCTAATTTCATTATCTTCTCTCCATTTCCTAGATTAATTCAATATCTGTCAGGAGATCTACTTTCTCCATGTAGTTTTTAAGATCCAGGATATAGGAAAAAAACATGTTTGAGTCAATGGGAAGGGCTGTGGAAACGGAATATGAAAATTTTGGCATGCTACAATCTAAGAGAAAATGTAATGAAGATGCAGTACAGATGGTATCTGATCCCGGTCAGGTTGGCCAAAACGTATAAAAACTGCAGGGATGGATATCAAAGATGTAACAACGGGGCAGGCACCTTCTTGCACATGTGGTGGGAGTGCAAAGAGATAGGAAGATTCTGGGATAGCATCTATAATGAACTTTAAAAAATGTTTAAATTTACATTTTAAAAAACCCCAGAATCTTTCTGAAATCAAGAAAATAGACCATTATTTATGTATGCAACTACGGCGGCAAGGATCTTAATTGCCCAAAATTGGAAAAGTAACAGCATCCCCACAAAAACAGACTGGTTATCTAAATTCTTGAATACTTGTTGTTGTTTAGTCATTTAGTCGTGTCTGATTCTTCGTGACCCCATGGACCAGAGCATGCCAGGCACTCTTGTCTTCCACTGGCTCCCGCAGTTTGGTCAAACTCGTGCTGGTAGCTTCGAGAACACTATCCAACCATCTCGTCCTCTGCCGTCCCCTTCTCCTCGTGCCCTCAATCTTTCCAAGCATCAGGGTCTTTTCCAGGGAGTCTTCTCTTCTCATGAGGTGGCCAAAGTATTGGAGTCTCAGCTTCTGTCCTTCCAGTGAGCACTCAGGGCTGATTTCCTTAAGAATGGATAGGTTTGATCTTCTTGCAGTCCATGGGACTCTCAAGAGTCTCCTCCAGCATAATAATTCAAAAGCATCAATTCTTCGGCAATCAGCCTTCTTTATGGTCCAGCTCTCAGTTCCATACATCACTACTGGGAAAACCATGGCTTTAACTATACGGACCTTTGTTGGCAAGGTGATGTCTCTGCTTTTTAAGATGCTGGATTGAATATTTACATATCACCAAAATAACAGGGAGAGTTAGAGGGAAAACTGTACAAAAGGTTAATAAGGAATGGATTATCTTTAAAGAATATCTTAAAACACCACTCCTCTCTGTCCCAGTATGCTGCAGTGACTCAGCCAGATGGACCTCAGGTGAATAGTTCAGCCTCATCCTGCTGTCCACTGCTATAAGTCACATATAATATTTCTCAGCTTTAGCCTCAGATCAAATTCAGAATTCTTCCAGCTTCTAAATTTGGAAGAACAGAGAGCTGTGTGGAAAAGCAGAATGGAGCTTGCAAACCACCTGTGGTCCATTGAACACATTTTGAGAACCTCTTTGGCATAAAAGTAACCATCTGAACATTAGGATATCAGCTTAATTCATTGCTCCTCTAGTGAATCCACAGCAATGCTTACAGGGCCTTTTAAGAACTTGTACTAATTTTTACTTGCATATTGCATTTCATAATAACAACCAGAACCTGACTTTCCAAGATGTGTTTTTAGGGCAATTACTACAATTCTCCGGTGGTCACTTTACATTAGATTTCAAGCCTTATAAAACAACATGAGGTGTGCTATAATCACTCTGAAATATACAGCCTTTCATTTCCTATTGCCTAATTACGGAGGGTATTTCACAGAAGAGATACAATTACTAGACTGTTGTTTTTTATTATCTTTTACTAAACAGCAAAGAGGAAAAATCTCTCATTCACAACAATATGAGCCAAGCCATTGCAAATGAATGCCTTTTATGAATCAGGAGGGGAACAAATGCCATATTGTTATAGAATTGAAGGGACACCCCCCTCCAACCCTAGAAATTAATAAATGGTAGGATTTTGATTATTTGGAATACTGAAGGGAAGATTGGAGGCTAAGTTTCCTTCCAAGCCGGTGTCTCACCTGGGATAGAGGCATTAACATGAAGAATAGTGTTGATGGTCCATCTGAGAGTAATCTTGGGCCTGGGAAGACAGAGGTTGCCATGGTGATGGGGTGTGTGTTTGAGATGGCAGGAAAAGAGAGCCTTTAGGGCAAGGTGTGCTGGGAAGAAGGAGGGGAGAACAAAGGGGCAGATCCATCTTGGGCAGGCTGGCTGAAGGCTAGCTAGTAGACATGCCTTTCACTCCAGTGCTGCACTGCTGTGGGAAACAAGTCTCTCTTGATATGACCATGCTGTAAATTCTGGACTCCTTCCATGCAGACTGAAGGTGGAAATATGTGAATAAATCATATTTCTTAAAGCTACGGCAGTCTCCATCGCATCTTCAGCTCTCCAAAGGAACACAACTCCTGGGTGGTGCGACACAGTGCACTGCTCTCCCTTTCTCCCATTCTGAATTACAATAGTCCTTCAGACTAAGGACAGTGAATATTTGTCCATCACTTGGCTCGTAATCTCGCAATGGGTCTTTTGTTCTGTATTTCAGATTGCACACCAGATGACGTTGCAGATTCAAAGCATGTGTTGAAGTAAATAAAAATGTGCAGTGAAATGCCATATTTTTCCATGTATAAGACTAGGTTTTTTTCCTAAAAAACAATGCCCAAAATTAAGGGGGTGTCTTATACACAGATAGTGCCAAGGGTGGATTTTCTTAAATCTGAGTTCCCCAAAATAGGGGCGTCTTATAGATGGAAAAATACGGCGTGTGTGTGTGTAAGAATAAGGAAGAGGTGGTGTCCACACCCACTTTTAGCCACACCCACTGCTGACATGTGGCCACTAGAGAATTGGCCAAAGCTGAATCACCCCCTTCCTAGGTAAATACTGATCTGCCCATATCAGCATCATAGTTATAAGCTGCTGGTTTCCATCATTAACCTATTACCAAATTCTGGGGGATGCGTATAGTGAAAAGGGTGGAAATGCGGGCAGGTTGGGGAGGAGATAGAGAGACAGAGAGAGACATCCAGACAGAGAGAGGGGGAATAAAATTTCTATAGGGCATATAGGTAGGAGACTTTTTTTAAAAAATAACTTTTTTAGGCTTCTCCTTTAAGTTGGAAAGGTTGTGTGCTATGTTTCAGCAATCAACCTATATTCCTCAGAACAGTTATTGAAGAGAATATCTAAATCGGAATGGCGATTTATGCATAAAGGGCAATCCAGTCAGATGGGCAGGATACAAATAAAATATAACAGCAGCAGCAGCCACACAAGGAGTTTCTTTTTAGAGAAAAGAGTAGCCAACATGGTTCTTTCCAGATATCATTGGACTACACTTCCCATGCTCCATGCTGGCTGGTCCTGATGGGAGTTGGAGTCCAACAATATCTGAAAGGCACCACTTTGACCATCTCTGTATTAGCAGAAAGCCTCGCTGTACATTCAAGACAAAGATCCTGACATGAGTGACAGAAGCATTTACCATCAGGTGTCCAGGAAATAACAGTACCGTCTTTTCAGATAGAAAATGTTACTTATGCACCAATGAATGTTGGGCAAGACTACTTTTCAAGAAGGATGAGAAATGGCTTTTCCAAGGCAAGGCTTTGCAGTACATTTTAGGTGATGGAGCCCTTTCTCTCTTTGTCTATGTTCTTTTGCTAGGAAGAGCACTCATGTACCATTGTCAATGATGCAAGTCTCAAGTCAGCTAGGTAATTTAGATGCAAACACCACTTTAAAATATACAGTAAAAAAAGAGTGAGAAAATGATTGTGCGTTACAGTTGTATTACAGTAGCACAGGGCCCCCTGCAGGGGTGTAGTCTTGAGAAGTACTGTATTTTTTGCTCTATAAGACGCATCAGACGACAAGACGCACCTAGTTTTTGGAGGAGGAAAACAAGAAAAAAAATATTCTGAATCTCAGAAGCTAGAACAGCAAGAGGGATCGCTGCGCAGTGAAAGCAGCAATCATTCTTGCTGTTCTGGCTTCTGGGATAGCTGTGCAGCCTGCATTCGCTCCATAAGACGCACACACGCTTCCCCTTACTTTTTAGGAGGGAAAAAGTGAGTCTTATAGAGCAAAAAATACGGTACCTAATGATGCCAAGTTTTGATGTTGGCCCCGTATAGAATAACTGTTCGTCTTTCTTATAAGTTATCATACTTAAATGTATTTATGAAACTAATGCTGCAGTCCTAGCTCCACTCACCTTGGAGTAATCCCCACTGAATTCAATAGAACTTACTTCTGAGTAGACATGGTCAGGATTGCAAATCAGAACCAGTGAAAGCGGTGAAGGTCCTGTGTGAGTGTCTGGAGGTGGTTGGAGGATGGATGGCGGCTAACAGATTGAGGTTGAATCCTGACAAGACAGAAGTACTGCTTTTGGGGGACAGAAGGAGGTCAGGTGTGGAAGACTCCCTGGTCCTGAATGGGGTAACTGTGCCCCAGAAGGACCAGGTGCGCAGCCTGGGCGTCATTTTGGACTCACAGCTGTCCATGGAGGCGCAGTTCAATTCTCTGTCCAGGGCAGCTGTTTACCAGCTCCACCTGGTACGCAGGCTGAGACCCTATCTGCCCGTGAACTGTCTTGCCAGAGTGGTGCATGCTCTGGTTATCTCTCGCTTGGACTACTTCAATGTGCTCTATGTGGGGCTACCTTTGAAGGTGACCCGGAAACTACAACTAATCCAGAATGCTGCATCTAGACTGGTGACTGGGAGCGGCCGCCGAGACCACTTGAAAGACCTACATTGGCTCCCAGTACGTTTCCGAGCACAATTCAAAGTGTTGGTGTTGACCTTTAAAGCCCTAAACAGCCTCGGTCCAGTATATCTGAAGGAGCGTCTCCACCCCCATCGTTCTACCCGGACACTGAGGTCCAGCACCGAGGGCCTTCTGGCGGTTCCCTCACTGCGAGAAGCCAAGTTACAGGGAACCAGGCAGAGGGCCTTCTCGGTAGTGGCACCCGCCCTGTGGAACGCCCTCCCACCAGATGTCAAAAAGAACCACTACCAGACTTTTAGACGACATCTGAAGGCAGCCCTGTTTAGGGAAGCTTTTAATGTTTGATGCATTACTGTATTTTAATATTGTGTTGAAAGCTGCCCAGAGTGGCTGGGGAAACCCAGCCAGATGGGCAGGGTATAAATAATAAATTATTATTATATTATTATTATATTCCATCTGTTTCTTTGTTCCTTCTCATGATAGAGCAGTGCCTATGAAATGCTCTCACTCAGCTCCCCACCAGAAGTTGCTTGGTACCTTCCTGCAGGAAAACCATACCTGAGGTCCGAAAATCAAGATGGGTGTTTACAAGTAAGCAATTTGGGGGAGGAATCACATAAGTAACGTGGTGTTTTTTTTAATCCTTATAGAAAATGGTGTATTATTAGTTAAGTGAAAAGATAGTGCTATACCAGACACCATCTCTGAAGCAACTAAATTGGCAGAAAACCACTTTTTAGAGGAAATTGCCCAAGACATAAAAATACCGCTGTGCCTCCAAAAATACACAACAGCAGCAAAGTACAGAAATATTCTCTAGAAATATAATTGAATCTCATTTTCTGAACACTATGGCACATACTGGGATTCTGCCTCCGTGTAATGTTCTGTATACATTACATATAAACATCTACCACTCAATAGCTCAATTTTACTTGTATTTAAGGCTTTACTCGCTGTGAAGGACCGGCTTCTGCTACACAAAAGCTACTTTGGAGAGGGGGAGGAAAACTTTCCAAAGGAAGTTTCACATAAATGTATTTCCCACTACTGTGAATTTGCTCTTGATACAGCATCAATCACAGCCACCTCCTGAATAAAATGCACAGGTACCAGAGAGTCCAGATCATCATGTTGCTGGAGGCATCTAAGCTGACAGTTTAAATGTAAGTAAAGAAGCTGAGCTATACTGTATAGCCAACAAGCTGCAGGAAAAGTCAGTACCAACGCTTCTTTCTCTGCTTTCCTTCTTTATTTTACTACTGCTACAATCTGCTGAAAAGAGCACTAACAGATTACAGACTTGTTCCATCAGGGAGAATGAAAGTCTGCCTGGAACAGTGATGGGGAACCTGTGGTCTTCCAGATGTTGTTGAATTACCTGTCTGTTGGCCATGGTGGCTGGAGCTTATGGAAGATGGAGTCAAGCCAGCATCTGGGAGAGCCACAGGTTACCCATCTCTGAGAAAAAGGGAATGTAAGAAAGTGAAAAGCTTCTGGGAAATGATATATAATGAGATGAAAAAGATGTTGAAATATACATTTATTAAAAAAAATCAACCAAAAGCATTTTCACTTGGCATTGTAGGGAAGGATATTAACAGACAGGACAGTAAATTGTTTTTATATGCAACAACGGCAGCAAGAATATTATTGGCACAAAAATGGAAACAAGAAGAATTACCAACGAAAGAAGAGTGGCAAATGAAATTAATGGATTAAGCAGAATTAGATAAGATGACAGGAAGGATTCAAAACCTGCGGGACCAGAGATTCTTAGAGGACTGGAGTAAATATCTGAATTATTTGAAAAGAAATTGCAATAAACAGATTACGCTAGTAGGACTGCAAGAAGTTTTGTAAGGAGGACTATGCGAAATATTGCAGAGAAGACTATGAAGAGAGTTATTAGTTAAGGACAATTAAAAGTAATAGAGAAATTAAGAAATGTAGACTAAGTGGTAAAGACTGAAAAATCTTCAGATGTGGTTAATGGAAGTCTAAAACACTGTATAAGATAAGAAAATATGTTAAATGATTGTTGGAAATGATATGTTATATATATATATATATATATATATATATATTTCCCCATCTCTGATCTATAATATACAACTCCCAGAAAATGAGGACCATTAAACATCCTCATCTCTGACATATCTAGAACCATCCTCCGTTTCCTGACTGCAGTCTATTTCAGATTTTTAAACATTGACCACTGTGCGACTAGTCTCATTTTTACAGCATAAAGATCCAGGAGAAATGTAGGAGTTTCCTTTATACCTTTTATATTTTTTCAGGCCGCTGTCCTAAACACGTACTGGAGCACAAGCCTCTTCCAAGAACTTAATTCTGAGAAGCATGCATAGGATTGTGCTGCCAGTGTCCTTTACTTCATCACACATATCACTGCCATACAAACTGTTGCACCTATCCATGCTTCCTCCTCTCTTGGTTATCAGGTATAACCAAGTCCAGAGCTTAGCCTGATCTGGAACCTCTTTATAGATGTGAGGTGAGTCGTGGAGCTTATTGTTTGCTATTGAGTCTTCATGCACTGGGATTCCTAGGACAGCTTTCCGTACCAGCTATCAGCTCTACTGTCCCATTCTACTTCAGCAGAGGAGACTACGGCAGCACCATGGAGAGCTCCTAGAGAGCTACTTGCTCTAATATGTGTCAGAAGTGAACCGAGGTCTTTTAAGACTCTGCCTCCAATTCACTTCTTCTAGGCTTCACCCCTTTTGAATCTCTCAAGGGAGTCAACCCTCTGGCCTGAAAATAGACCTCTCTCCTGTATTCCACGGCCTCTCATGTGTTGCAATCCCTGCACCATTGGGCTGGGGAGATCTCCTACAGTAAGGCATCCCAGAGGGTCCTAGCTCAGTTCTAACAGCTCTGGTGGCAGTGGGCTCCTGCCTGTCAACCATGGGCTCAGTGATCCTTTGTCACCAAGATAAGGACCAATAATTTGGTCTGGTTCTTTAGTCAGCGTAGCCTCTGACATGGCTTCCTGGTCAATGCTGGATTCATCTGAACTCTGGTGTCATGGGGACGCCTAGAACTTTGTCCTTTTTTAAAAGTCAAGTGTGAAATTAATATCCTATACAATTTTCGACATCTTCACCAGTGAGAGGTGTTTGGCTAAAGATGGGGGAGAAATGTATTCAGAACTGCATTTTCATGTGGATGTGCCTAATCTGCAGTTCCCAAACAAAAGGTGTATTTTAAATATGAATTGATTTTATAGTTGTAAACCACTTAGAAGCCATTTTTGCATATAAGTGGTTAACAACAACAACAACAACAACAACAACAACAACAACAACAATAATACAGCTGTAATAGCACTTCTCTTAATTTCTCCAGCAAAAATAAATGGATACAGAATGGGAAAGTGCAAACAAAATTGCATATATTACTGAAAATGATGCACCAAATTAGGGGAAATTGATTGTAAAAATGCATATATTAGAAATGCACAAAAATACACGTTAATTTTCATGCAACCTTTTAATAATAAAATTCATAAACTGGTGCAGAAAAGGAGCAAACTGAGCTTAAGTTTGGAAAAAAATATAAACTGAAAGAAACTAAAACAGACAGATTCATCCATTCTGAAGTTTCACAAGGCAGATTTATAGGGCTATATGTTGTCTGGGTGTTTTTTGGGGGGGGCAGTCAGGTGACTTACAATTCAAATGAATAATGAATAAAAATGTTTCTTAAAATCTAACTAAAGCATTTGTTTTATGTTCTCAAAAAGCGCATTGTTTCATATCCAGATTAGGATATCAGTATAGAGTCAAGCTTTTTTCCTAATACAGCTCTCACACAGCCCTTGAAAGTTGCTGACAAACTTCAAGAAAAGGTCCCTTTCCTGTTAGCTGTCAAACTGAGGTGATTCTGTCACTCTCTCCCTGCCTCAAGTGGTTTTGTCATGTCTGAGGCCAGTTTCCAGCTTCTTGAACATGACTTGGCTGTTCACGAAATGTAAAACCAACATCAACAATCAGTATCAACTTTAGCAAAGGAGCCTAGGGCTAACACATACGAAAACTGTAATCCCCCCCACACACACTGAGAAGGGGAGGGGGAGGAACCGATACTCAGCCATTACCTAAGGGCTTTCATAGCCCTGGGCACTAACGGAATCCATATTTAGAGACTGCAGCCTAAACATTTTCCCCTTCAACGTTTCATCACTTGCTTCACTGTCAGTCTTCCCTGGTGTAACATGACCAGGTAAATAAAGGATCCATCTTTAGACTGAACACAAACAAGTCTTCAGTGCATGGGGGATTTATGTAGCCAAAATCAGACTCAAAGCTATCTTTGGCAACACACACACACACACACACACATACACACACAATTCTCTGCAGCTGTACAAAAGAATATCTGTCAAGCTTCACAGTGACCTGGATCTATCCAAGTTCCAATGTCTGGGTTAATAGGCCATCTTTGAATTAGCCATGTGTGTGATGCATTTTGATTAAAGCCAGCACCATACCTTATTAGGCAAATATAATTGCTCACTGTATAGTTTTTCCATGTACAGTGGTACCTCGGGTTACATACGCTTCAGGTTACATACGCTTCAGGTTACAGACTCCGCTAACCCAGAAATATTACCTCAGGTTAAGAACTTTGCTTCAGGATGAGAACAGAAATCGTGCTCCAGCGGTGCGCCGGCAGCAAGAGGCCCCATTAGCTAAAGTGGTGCTTCAGGTTAAGAACTGTTTCAGGTTAAGAACGGACCTCCGGAACGAATTAAGTACTTAACCCGAGGTACCACTGTACAGTGTGGGCAACAGATACTCATGTAAGTACTTTACAATAGGGGTGACTAACCTATGGCTGGTTTCATCAAGCCATTGGAAGCAGTGCTGTAGCATGGGGAGCTGGGGTGTGTGTACATTTTGTTGAGGGGTGCAACCAGGTGCCTCCACGACAGGTTCCCTCATCAGAGCCTGGCTGTGGTATGCAAGGGAGCTGGGGAAATAGCTTCCTCGCGCAGTGGCCCAACACCACCAGTTGCAGCTCTACTCCCAGGTCAAGCCTGACCTGGGGCCGGGGCGGAGAGAGGAGAGTCAGCAGCAACATTGCCACCCACTTCTCTGGGCTGTGGCAAGCAAGGAAGCTGCTGAGGAAGCTTTCTCTTGCCTGGCCACAGCTCCACTCCTGGGTCAGGTCGGACCTGGGAGCGTAGCAGTCTCCCTCCATGCTCCCATATCCTCAGGGGTTGCCCGTTGTGGCGGTTGCCCTCCTAGGTGTGTGACATCATACTGGTTTCATAAGGAAAGGGTTAACTAATTGTAAAATGACTAACCAATGGGAACCCAAGGGGCGGAGTTAACTGTGTATAAGGTTTTAAGCACAGAGCGGGTTTTTTGGAGGAGCTAGGGTGGTTGAGAAGACAGTCTGGAGTTAGAAGAGACAGAGAAGATAAGTCTGTGGGTTGGGCTAGTCTGGTGTGAGAGAGGGAGAGAATTTGTTAAGAGGAGTCAGTCAAACAGTTGAGAGAATCAGTCAGAAGGTATTAGGAAAGTATAGGACGGTAAAGAAAGTAAAGTTAAGATACTGACAGGAATATTATCTGAGAAACCATAAACTTGTTAATGTTTGTAAAATAAACTGTTGTTGTTGTTGTTGTTCACTTTTAACAACTGCCTGGACTCAGTGTTTTACTAGAGAGTAACAGGTTGGTGGCAGCAGGGAAGCGAGCGTAGCGGTGGCATAGGGATCAATACACCGTTAAACGTCCGGGGACCCTGTGTGAGCGCCACACCCATGCACCTACACTGGGCAGCAGTAGCATATGTTTCCATCACTGCTTCCATCGCTGATTGGAAGTGCAGGGGTGGACCTTGGTAATATGGCTACCTGTGCAAGGCCAAAATTGGACACACATACCCCAGGCCTCGCTCCGCTTTCCTAAAGCCAGGTAAGGGAGGTGCTGGACTTTGGGTAGGAGGCCCAAGGCTCTGGCAGGGATCTAGAGTCCTCCCACCTCCTTCCTCAAACTAGGCAAATGCTAACTAGGCTTTGGAAAGGAGGCAGGAGGATTCTAGAAAGCTGTCAGAGCCCTCATACCGCCTTCCCAAAGTCCAGTGCTTACCAGGCTTTGGGGAGGAGGGAAGGAGATGCCCCCTTGACCCCTCAGCCCTGTGAAGGGGAATGGGCCACGCTGCCCTATATCTGCCTCCGGGGGCTGGGAGTTCAAGGGGGAACTGCAAGTAGGGTTGCCTCAGAATCAATTCCACAAGGCGAGCTCATGGTGCCAGTGCCTCTTCTGCCTGAGGTGTGGCTTTCTGATTAGGAAGTGAAATATACTCGGAGTCGAGAGTGGATTTCATGCTCTTTATTCAGCTCATAGTGGTGAGGAGGAATGGAAGTTCCCCCCAGAATGTCTGCTTTCTATACCTTATTTACACAATGGGCCCCACGTGATTGGCTAATTCCGGTATTCTCCTATAGGCCAATCAGGCTGCGGATTCACTTCCACCTGGAGCTGGATTGGGTGGCTCCTGTGGACCAATCAGACTACTGCATTTTGGATCCTATTCAACTCCGTACATAACAGGAAGACTCCATTGCAGAGCCCCCAATACAACCAGAGTCTACTGCACTCTTTCAGTGAAGATGGAGCTTGGAGCTGGGGCAGAACTTCTAATTCTATACAGGGCTCAGTCCAAGGCTGACTGTTGCTGAAGGAATGTCAGAGTCCTGCTCTATATCACTGAGCCCTGGCAGTCAGTGCTCATAGCTGGACACTATCCCAATCTCAGTGCTGTGGTGCTGGGTGCTGAAACTGGTTGAAAAAGAGCTCGGCTTGCTCTTTACAGAGTGCACAGGCATCTTTTTCTCCTGATCTCAGCACTGTGATGCTCAGTGATGGTATCAGGAGATGAAATCTCTCCGCACTTTATATGTAGAACCTGTGGGCCT